GGGTGAATAGAAAAATCAAAAATATCAAAATTTGCCATCGAATAACTAACACCCTATATGAGATTTTGCGTTAAAATTTCGTGTGGGGGTATTTCAGCTATGCCTTAATCGAATGGGTTAGTCCATGTATCGAAAAAAAATTTCGTTTTTGAATTTTCGATCCTTCAACAGGCAGAAGTGGGCCTTGAAAATCTGAATAATTCAGATTCCTCCACATTTCGGATAGAGCTCGTTGAGAACTATATTATGGGATATTTGTTTTTGAAAATCGGTCGACGGGTTCGAAAGTTCCAAATTAGGAGGGTGTTGCGGGTTGAAATCGCACACACTGTATATAAAGACCTTTTTATACTCAACATGACTCAACCAATGATTTCGACTGTTTCACCTTGTATAGGAAATAACAATTCATAATAATTTTATTGTTGGAGTGTTGTGAATATGTGAATATAGCCCAGAACGAGAGCTATAAAAGCGTTATCGTAATAAAGAGTCGGATTTATCACGGTGGCGTATACTGGGTGATCCAAATAAAACTTTACACCCTCATTTTGAGGCAAGAGGCAATGTCGAATTTACCTCCGGAATATTATTCTTATTAGATGAGGATTTGAGAAGCATTTATTTATTTGTTATTTTTCGTCGCAAAAAAAATAGTCTCGAAAATATTGGACACACCTCGGGACACACTATCTCTTTGAATCACCCTCGGATTTACCTCAGTTCATCTTGAATATCGAGGTGAATATATGCAACGTTCGAAACGAGTCAAATCGATTGTTGAATATTCGGGAAAATGTCGTTACATCCACATTTCATCACTCCCATATCCCGTTGTTACCACATTTCGATATGCCCACATTTCGTTAGGCCTACATTTCGATACACCCACGATCTCCGAACATACCCGAAGGATGCACAGTTGCCAAATACTATGCCGTACTATGCCATATAAGTAATTTTCCGAAAAATATATTATCCAGGAAGTAGTTTTATTTCGGGCGAGTTGGATTGGAATAGTTGGAAGAAGTTGTCTACTTTTTTATGCAAATAGGATGTTGTCCGAAGGATATACTTCCTATAATATAATAGGGATAAGGTTAATTTAGACTGAGTTAAGTTGAACTGTTCAAAAAAAGTAGTCTCTCTTGTTTTCTCAAGTGATCTATCGGAGAGTATAATTTTTAGTACGGTTTATATAGGAAGAGCAGAGTCGAGGGCAGAGTTAGGTTAGATTGTATCCATATAGACGTTAATGGTACAGCTCTCGGTACAGCTAGACGCTTGCCGTGTTACACCTACATTTGGCAACAGATGTTCAGAGACTGTGGGTTCATCGAGATGTGGGTCTAACGAAATGTGAGTCTTTCGAAATGTGGGGACAAAGCGATGTAGGAGTTATGATGTGTGCGGGCACAATGCAGCGCCTTCGAATATTGACGATGAACTGAGGTAACTCGAACAGATACTACGTCCACAAACTTGATAAATGAATACTTTTCGCTGGAACGCCTTGTATACATTCGTTCATATTCATTTATTCCCTTATTTATTTATCGAATCCAGGCAATATTCAACATTTATGGTGAATTTACATTCTGATTTATGCGAGGATTTATGGTATTGCTATAAGTGAGATTACATTTCGGATTATTCTATATAGTGGGTCCTTTGTTTTCCGTAACAAATTTTATGACAAACTGAAATGATCAAGGAAATGATTCCATTTTGCATTCGGCGACCTACTTTTCTGTGTGTTCACCAAGTCCCACCACTGGAAATTCAACCACACCCTCTTTTTATCTAATTATCTATCATATCATAGCAAGACATTTTTACAGATTTCTAATTTTTTGACATTATCGGGGTGAATTAGGGGTGAAATAGATGCGACAAAATCAGTAGACATAATGAATCTTTTCATTCGTCTATACGTTACGTGTTTTTTGACTAACAAAATCCATAGCAAGACATTTTTTCATTTTCAAAATGACAGTTTTCTGATTTTATAGACATAATCGTGGTGAAATAGGGGTGAAATGGATGCGACAAAATCAGTGGACATAATGAATATCTTCTTTCGTTTACGTTACGTGTTTTTTGACAAAAAAAGCCATAGCAAAACATTTTTTTCATTTTAAAAATGATAGATTTCTGATTTGTTAGACATTATCGGGGTGAAATGAATGCGACGAAATCAGTGGACATGATGAATCTCTTCTTTCGTCTATGTTACGTGTTTCTTGATTTCTTGGTTTCTGTGATTTTAACACAGTTCTGATTGAAATTCCGAACTTTCAATAATGCCTTTTCGTTATGAGTAATAGTTCGGCATTTTTCCTGATGAAAAAATCCTCGAAAAAATCACTCGCGTACTGATTTAGAATAAATTCCTAATCGAGTTCCTAATATTGCGCGTATTTATTCTGCCCGGCCTGCTTTTCGCAATCTTTTTTCTTGCTGGCGCGGACGTCTTGCTGGTTTCACACCGTCATAACTATTTTTCGATCTATCTTTTGCAATTATTGAAAAAAATTTTCAAAGAATCAATAGAAACTTGATTCCGAGCTTAATTCTCATCAAACATTTATTTCATCCGAGATTTATTCATGGAACAAAACAAAAACGAGAAAAAATCTGAAAGTGCCAAAGGCGGTCAAAGGTGAATAGAAAAATTCCTCGAAAAATTCTTACTGGAAAGTCATATAGGATTCGTATATAGGATATTAGGGGCCTGAAGTTATGCTGGAGCCTTGGGGCCCAACTAAGTAAAAAATACAAAAAAATAGGACCTCATTCCTTAAAACATGCCACACACTAAAAATGACACTGATCTGGAAATGTGTTTAATGAAAATAGAGACCCCCGAGGGTTATACCAGAAGTAGACATCAACTTCGTGATTTCGAATAGGAAGATATAGGTGGTTTTTATTACTTCTCTAAGTTCCTATGATTGTACTTCAAGATCTCGTTCAAGATGATCTTCATAAGCTTTGACTCTGACACGACTCTGACATTTTTGAAGGTATCGGAATCATTTTTAGGCATCAGTAAAAGACAGAATTGCTCTTCTTTATATTTCATTTCATTTGATAAGTTTGAGAAGTTCGAGGAAGTCCTGGTAAGTTCGTGAAAGATTTGAGGAAGTTCGGGGAAGTTTAGACAGATGGAAGTCTAAGAGACTTCGAGGAATTTTGAGGTAGTTTGAAGAAGTTTGAGAAAGTCCTGAGATGTTCGAGGAAATTTGAGGAAGTTAGAGAAAGTAGAGGAAGGTTGGACAGTTTGAAGACTGAGTAAGGTCGTGGAAGTTTGAGGAACTTCGAGGAAGTTTGGGAAATCTTGATCCATAGGAAGTTTCGGAAAGTCTGATGTACAAGTTTTTGGGTCATGAATTCATGATTACCCGAGTGATCATCACTTCTGAAAAAACGAATAAATTGAAGCACAAGTGTGGGTAGGAGAGAGGAGATTGATTTTCACGATTTCACGACACAATTACAATTCCGGCGAATCCCGGTCGCGATTCCGGCTGAACCTCGGGTTTGAGCCGAGGTTTGAACCACTAATACTAGGGTTTATACCTATACTTTACCGATTATTGTGTTTCGAGTTGGGAGTTGGCTCGGAAGTTGTGTTATATATACCTACCCAGAATTCTATTCCATTCACTCTTTATCCCCTTGCCCTCGCCTAAAGATATAATCATCAGGTACAATCGAGGGTGCGATTCTCAGTTTTCAATTATGAAAAATTTCCGGGAATTTCGTTGAAAATTCTTCTGAAATTTGTGGAATTCTTTGAGATGACTTACTTTGGATATCGTTCAGTGTACAGTTCAGTGTTTAGTATATCTAACCTCGTGATTAACTGAAGCGATATCTGAATAATGGAAAAAACGATAATTGAAATTTGCAAATGTCTGAAATTCTTCGGAGGCATTATTTCGAATTCCTCTCAGCATCAAGGGAAGTAAAATGCTTGATAGGCCTCAGATAGGTAGGGTCGTATGGTCGTACCGAGGGTCGTACGTCCGATACATACATACAGTATGATGCAAATGTATGGAATAAATTCATTTTTTCAGAAATGGCCGACATTTGAAGAAATTCCAAAAATACGTGAGTTTTAATTTTTGAAGCCTCATCTCATGACATTCATCTGAGAGATGTTACGTCACTGGTGTTGGAGTAATGACGTAATGGACGATTTTTTCAAATACAAACAGGGGTCACGTGACACCTCGTTTGGAAGCAGGTCTACCGATCGTCTATCCAACAGTCAAAATTTTGCATAATAAGATTGAAATTGAAATGGTTTATCATTCGGTTAACTGAATCTTGCAGAGGTCTGCTACTGAGAATTGAACATCGAAGGGTCGTCTAGTTGAAGAAATACACAGTAAAAAAAGTTCTGAACTCTGAATTTTGGATTTTTTCCGGGAGTCGTCTTGTTTTGAAATGAATTTATTCCATACATTTGCATCATACTGTATATTATTATACTTGTAATATCATTAATACCTACCGCTGAAATCGGAAATAAGTATATACCCGAGGGGTAAACCGCGGTCGAAAATTTGTACACCAGACTTCATTTTCGCAAGGAATTTAATGGAATTCCAAGGAACTCCATGAAAATCTAAGGAATTCCAAGGAAATCCAAGGATTTCCAAGGTAATCCAAGGAATTCCAAGGAAATCCAAGGAATTCCGAGGAAATCCAAGGAATTCCAAAGAATGTCAAGGAATTCCAAAGAACTTCAAGAAAATTCAAGATTTTCTAGGGCATTCTAATGAATAATAATTAATTAAGGAAATTTACAATCACACTTGAAAAAACTGAAATACTGGAATAAAAAAACGAACATTTAATAATAAAAAACAAGGCCTAGTTCTTCTGTCTATGAGGTAACAAAAAATAATTCTTCTATCACAACTAATTCAGGTAACCTAGCAGCATTTCTACCAAAATAAAATAAGGACGAACATAGGTATCTGAAACTATAGGTCTTTCTTGAAATCTCTATATTTTTTCTCTATGTTTGCCCGATCTTCTCGAGAAATTCGCAGTGATGTTTCACATCCAATCATAGTTATTGGACCATAAAATATTTGTGATCTCAAAACCATGTCTACATCTTGGGTCTTCGGCAAAAAAAAATCTTGTAGGTTTTGATGTAGAAATTTCAGCCGGTAGTAACAATTCCTGCTATCTCCTGTTTCCATCTCATTCTCGACTTTGTCTATCAGCCTTCCAGTATACCACTGAGAGTCATAATATGTGGCATAACATTTTTCACTCTCAATTTCATCTTCATTGGAGTCCTCCGAGGAGTCCTCATTGTTCAGTGAATCAATTTTTGTTTGTTCTACGGAAAAGTCTTCCATATCTGTCGATTCATCAAGAGAAAAATGTTCATTAGAATTGTACGAGGAATTTGAAGTAACATCGGAATCATCTTTGGCAATCATATCCGGAAGATTATCTCGGGCAAATGATTCTATATCAGCGATATCATCATCAGTAATTTCTCCAATCACTCGCAAGGAATTATACCCGTTAATAATCAAAATGTTCTTCAACTCGTTTGGAAATTTAATGTTGAGCAAACACTCTGCCTCATGTAGATCTTCGTCGAGAGAATTCCATGACATGACGTCCACCCGAGCTCACCCTTTACCTCGCCCTTTACAGACCTACGAAACATGATTGATGTTGAACATTCTAGGGTTGATAATCAATTCAATTGAAAGGAATAGATAAGGATCATATATCCATTCTGAAGCACTTAGAGCAGTGCTATTTGCATTTGAAACAGACTTACCGTCACTAAATACTTCCACTCTTTTACTCAACTGATGAATAAGTTCTAGATTAAATGCACCCAACTAACCCTACGAAAACTGCAGGCGAACTGATATCTTTAACATGTACGAACCTGTGCCCGAATGCCCGTTGATGACATCATTCTTCATGTCTACCACAAGATCTCGCGCGAGGTCCAATAGTGTTCTACAAAAATAGCGGGAGCTGCTATCACATACATTCTTTTCTAAAAGAGGATGAGTTTTCAAAGGAATTCCAAGGAATTCCAAAGAATTCCAAAGAATTCCAAAGAACTCCAATGAATTCCAAAGAATTTCAAGGAATTCCAAGGAATTCCAAGGAAATCCAAGGAATTCCAAGGAATTCCAAGGAAATCCAAAGAATTCCAAGGGAATCCAAGGAATTCCAAGAAAATCCAGGGAATGCCTGAGCATGTGTTGAGATGAAAATATGGATGAATTCCAAGGAATTCACAGGAAATTCAAGGAATTCCAAGGAAATCCAAGGAATTCCAAGGGAATCCAAGGAATTCCAAGGGAATCCAAGGAATTCCAAGGAATTCCGAGGAATTCCAGTTGCTTGTACACTAGAATTCCACCGCGGTTTACCCCTCGTATATACCTATGTGAAGGGTGAACTAATGAATAATGAAAGAATAAGATGGAATAAGGTAGGTATCAGCTCGGCTATCAGGTATCCTTATATCCTTACAATTTGTTCAATCCAAGGTTCAATCGCAACAGCCCATCCTTTGCCTTTTTCTGCCGAATCAGCTGATAACTAGTGTCACTTGATTTATTCGATTGGAATATCTTCGAGGGCAGACATTCCAAAGAAGAGAATCGCCTGGGGCCTTTCTTCAATGAACACATCATGAACTAACGATCGAAACGAGATACAAGTCACATTATTTCATCAAGAAATCTTTCGTCCACAAAAAACATCGTTAACAGGCGCAGTTCGATCAGCAGCGGTACACATTGGAATTCAAACAAAGAACCGAACATGGACATGCAGGCAATATCTACAGTCACTACAGTCACATCTTGCCGTCCAAATCAAATCAAGAAAATGTAGGAATAATATGTAGGTACAACCACTTTTCATCACTCGGCACCACGCGGTACTATCTAGAGACAGCAACAACAAAACATCGAAATAGGTAGGTAATATACGGTAGCTGCATGCAACAAACGAATAAGGAATTCCTTAGCTCTGATTCTTGACAGAGTTGCCAAGTTTACTTCTACAATTATCTTTGTATAGTTAATCAAATCATCAAATTATCATTGATGATTGAAGTGACATAGAGAACGACCCCACTAATTTATTACCTACCTTACGATTACAAAAAAGTCTTCAAAATGTACTACTCATAAAGATTCATCGTCCGATAAATCATTTCATGGTCTCCTGTGATCAACATATCACATCAAAATTCAGGGAACTGGTATTTATAGTAGGAGAGCCGTCTGCAAATTTTGACCGTCACCTGGTACGAAATGATATGAGCATGTCCCAAAGGCATATCTTCATTTTCAATCACTATCCTGAGCAAAATTATTGAAAAATTGCACTGTCCTGTGCGGTAATTTGCACTCAATTTCGAGATTTGAAAATGAAATACGTATTATGCCATCCGATATGCCAATGGAATGGTAGATCTCAAAACTTCACCTGTGCCAAAGAGATTTATTTACTGCCGATATGAGATAGTAAAAAGCTGATAGAAGGGGATAATGTCTCCTTTGCGAGTATCCAAACGTGATGCGATTCGAACTGATCTAAGCTAGTGGGCAGAGCTTCAATATTTCCGAGAACATTTCCACTCTGTCTGAAAATAATATCCGATGGACCTGTGGGTTCGAACACTTGTAGTGCGAGCACCACATCAGTTTCACACTGGTCCATCGGATATTATCTTTATAAAAGGGCAGAATATTCTCAGAAATATTGACACTCTTCCACTAACTTTGATCATTCTGAATCGCGGCAAGTTTGAATATTTGCAAAGGGGACAATTACGCCTTTCATTTGATATCTGTTTCAGCTCGTTATCAAATGACGGAAGTAGGTATGTCCTGATTAACGGCAGCTAATAAATCGCTGTGCATTGGATTTGACTTCGATTAAGGGGTGGCAACAGGTATAGGGTTTTGAGATCCACCAATCAATTGGTATTGACTGGCATAGTTCTTATCTCGTTATCAGATCGCGAAATTAAGTGCATATCACCGCACAGGAAAGTGCAATTCTTCGATCATTTTGCTCAGGATAGCAATCGGCATAGGTCTCGTTCGATAATAATGTCATGAATAACAAGAAGTGGGCCAAATCGAAATCCTACATAGCAGCTAATATCGCCAAAGTGGGTACCTGAAGGGGAATTTTCAATTTTCAGGACATTCTTAATGGGTAATAAGTCTATATGGTTAAAGCCAAATCAATTTCTATAATAGTTCAGAGTTACCAGTTGTTTTTTTACAAAGTGTATTTTTTAAAAGTGGACTGAACTCAGAATACGCAGTTTTCAGAATAAATCATTTAGCCTAATATTGTTTCCTGATTGTGTGACGTAATTTTGATCATAGGATATAGGAGGCAATGAAATGATGAATCAAACTGAATTTATCGACCATTTTCGATAGGTCTTTCGGAGTAGCACCAACATTTCATAAAATACATTTTCACCCTTTATTTCACTCCAGAATAATTGAAGCAATAAGATATACTGAATATGATGCCGGGTGTCCCAACTCTATATTTAAACAAGCATGTTCTCGAAAACGGGTGACACTATCAATGTTCTGAAATAACTGGCTCAAATGAAAAAGTATGTTGAACATAAATTAGTCATCAAAACTACCCCTCGTAAAACCACCCCATAGCACACACCACTAACTTTTATTTTCAAGTTGCACCCCCCTATTGTGGTATGTTTGCTAGCTTATAAGCTTACGAACAAAATGATGTATACTCTCCATGAATACGCCCTAGGTAATGAGAAATCAACAATTTGATAGCATATCAAATGAGGAATTGCGTCCACCATTATCTTAAATCTGAAGACTGAATCAGACGACTAATGTAAAATTAGTTATTAAAACTAGGGTCCCTAGATACGTATTTGTCATTTTATCAGGGTACGGACTACGGACAGACCCTGACCCAGACCCCTTGGAAACACTATAAAGTGTTCGTGAAACAGTTATACAGGATGTATCTGAATAACAAAAAAAATCATCCGAAAATAACTCACGATATTCGGACGATATATCAATTATTACAACAATTTCAGTTTCATGTATCCAAATGAATGATCATATTATGGCTTCATGGCAAAAATGAAAAACAAATAGTTTCTTCACAAGTAAGCGAATGAAGAAAACTGAATTTCTGTCTTACTTTTCTCAATATCGTGAGTTATTTTCGAATGATGTTTTTAAATTTTGAATTGACTCGGTCGTTACTTGATGGAAATCCATGGCAAAAGTAAAAACTTCACAAACGATAAGATTTCCACAAAATTCTTAAACACACAACATGTTCCGCTAATACAGTAGCTTCGTCAGGTGTTATACTGGTACAATGAACTTCATTCAGTCGAATAGAGAATTTCAAGGCAAATGAAATAGGCTACAGAAATATACATGGATGCAAAGGTTCATTGCCTCCCATGTGTGTTTAATCCCCTCCGCTATCGATTTTCAAGTGTTAGACGAGTTAAACCTGAGACACCCTGTATATATCCATTCTTTCATGTTCATTATTCATCTGAGAATATTTCTCTTCATAATATATTCATTTTACCTTTTTTTGCAGTTGCGAACAGTGAATATTTTCTGAATTTATAAATTTATAAATGGTAGTGCATGCCTTTTCATTTAATCGTCCGTTTTTATTGAACCTCTTTCTACTGAATTGCATTTAAAAATTTGTGGAGTGATAATTATTAAGCGTAATGAAAATGTCTCGGTACCTACGTTATTTTGTATGATTTTTACCTCGCATATTTTGCTGTATTTACCGATTTTCCAATTCGTTCTGTGCATGTCAATTTTCCATGTTCTCAGTTCATTTTTCATTTGATGGAAATCTGACAAATTTAAATTCGCCATACAACCCATTGATACAGTCTAAACGCAGCACATTTTGCCATTCGTCCAAAACAGAATTGAAAAATATAGTATCAAGAAAATTAATTCAAATTTTGTGAGATTTCTCGAAACGCCTATGAAAGTGACGTGACAGCAATGTCAGAGACGCATCAAGGGGCCCTTATCAAAACCGTCACCCGACAAACCACCCCTCTTATAGCAGACATCTCATCTTGTTTTCATATCACATTATATCTCATGCTTGTGGTATGTTTGAATAGCTTATTGGGAGCTTACGAACAAAGTAATTTATTACGCTTGATACAATTCTGAAAGTGGGTACGAAAAAGGATGTGGGGCATTATGCATATTTCAAAGAGTATTTATTTGATTATGAAACAAAACCACGTAATGATTAGAATAATAGATCTTAATCAAACAAGATATATTCGAAGTTGCCACTATTCCGCTACTGACACAGATCATACCTCCGTAGAACCTTCCTTGTACAAGCTGCTGTAATTGCTTGAAGGGGTGATATTCCGTAGCAAGCTCGAATTATGTTATTTCGTATATCAGCGATATTATTGGCTTTGTCTTCGTACAAGACTACACTTCTTGTTTCAAATGATCCCATGCACTGAAAAAAATCTGAGGGGGATAAATCTGGAGATCGTGATGGCCATATAGGGTTAATATTCTCGATCCAGTTTTCCTCGAATTGAAGAAGT